TTTCTAAAAGATTTCTAGATTGTCTATCCTTACAGTATTTGGAAATTCCATATTTGGTAATAATCCTGACTGTAATACTGCAAATAATCCTCTAGATATACTGATAATATAGTATATAGTTCAGGTGGGACATTTAGTTGTAAATATTTTGTTCAATCAATCAATCAATCAAAAAAAATAATACTTCCTTCCAATCCTTAACTATTATATAACATAACATTTATTTATCAGGAATAATGGCACAAATTCATTTAAGTTATTACTACATATTGTAAATTTTTTTAAATTTTTTTTCTGATTCAAACTTTTTGATTTTTCTAGAATATTCATAATCCAACTTGTTGTCTAATTGACTTATTTTTGAAGATTCAGAATGAATTTTGTTAATAAGTTCATTTGTTTCTTCATTATCATAAATGCCATTAGATTTCATTTCATCTAATAAACGTTTAATACCAACTAAATCATTCCAATATTTCCATCTAATTCTCAATAATTCATTGTAAACATCAACATTACAACCCATTATGTATGATACAATACCACATCGTTTTGATTGTTCAAATACTGATAATGCCAAATAAGGATCATTAAACTTTAAATGACTTTTACAAATTGCTTCTTTTATCAATAAAGAATAATTACTTGGAAATTGTTTATATAATTCATTTGAGACATGATTTTTTGAAAAATTGGATAAAATTGATGAATTAAAAAGTTTAGCTCCCAAGAATTTTATAAATTCCTGAACTGTATGACATCCATCCATCTCCTGTAAAAGCAAATCTGCATTTTTTTCAGATTCCTTATTATTTGGTGACTTATTAGAGGAAATAGTGTGTATGATGCATTCTAAAAGTTTTTTATCAGGTTTTTTAATAATATAAGTATCTTCTGCAATTTGTTTCATATGTAATAAGTTTTTTTCTAAAGTTTCAATGGAATTAAACATTTTATCATCTGCAGTGGAACCAAAAAGAGTTTTAGAAATATTATAAACATTGTTTGCCTTTTGACGTTCTGATTCTTTAATTGCTTTTTTTCTTTGTGTTGGTAATTGTGTGTTCTTTTTATATTTTAAATCAATACCCATTGAATCATCAAATTGATCCTCTAAGAAACTACCACCAATATTCTTATTTTCAACTTTGTTTATTTCATGTTCTTGGTTTTTATTGTCAACAGAGTTTAGGACATCTTGAAATAAATAATTCCATTCAGTAGCAAGATGCCTTTTAAAATTTAAAATTGTATTTTTATTATTATTTATTATAATAAATTTGTCTATTTAATAAAAGATTTTGTTAAATAAATGTTGAATGTTGTTGGTACAATATGTTTATATACATATACATATTTTTAAAAAATTAGTAATTACCTAAATTCTTATCAAATTTAGATATTATAAATCTTTGCATGATGAAAAAAAAAAATTTTTCAAATATGATAATCACACATCTAAATCATATGACTTGCAAAAAAGTTTTTTTTTTAACCAAATTATACATACAGTTCACTCTCTCTATAACGGCCCCCTCTATAACGGCCCCCATTCTATAACGCATTGTAAATCAGAAACCAAATTTTTACTATATAAAAACCTTACTCTATAACGGTTTTCTTAATTAAATTTCCTATAGCGTATAACGGCCAGCCTCTGGAAATTCTCTCATATGTTTTATATGTTGTAACGGCCGACGATCATGATCTGAGGTAATCATTACCAAATTAAGAAATTCAGTATGTCACAATTATTTAATATTAATAATTTGAACGCGCTTATTGTCACAATGCTCCCACTCATTCTATTTCTGAATCAACAAATTTAATTAATGTAAGAGTTTACTTCTTATCAAACACAACAACATTTTTACAACCATGTGATGCCTGGATAATTAACAACTTCAAGGTGAACTACAAAAAATTTTTCTTGCAAAAAAATTAGTGATTATGAAGAAGAGAGAAATAAACAGTCAAGAATATGAAAAAATTTCAATTAAACATGCAATTAAATTTACAGCAAAAGTTTGGAAAAAAGTTACCAGTCAAACTATAGTTAACTGCTGGAAAAAACTGGTATTTTACCTGATTATGATATTAATTCCAACGAAATTGAAAATATGTCATCAATTTTAAATTCATTGAATATAAGAGAGCTCAATGATTTGCAAAATTGATTTATGAACTTACATTTCCTAATCCTATATCTGTGTCTGAATACATTGAAATTGATGACTCTCATGTAAGTGATGAATAAATCTAAATGACATAATTACAATAATTAATCCACCAGAAGAAATGAAAGCCAGGAAGAAATAATTGAAGAACTTCCACCTGTTACAAATAAAGAAGCCTTGCCAGAAATAAAAACATTAGAAATTTACATTGATCAGCAATCAGAATTAAATGAGGATGATTTTAAATTATTGAAAAGTCTTAAAAGAAAAATTAAAAAAATTGATTTTAACCCACAACAATAATCCACACTAGATAACTTTTTTAATATTGAATAAATATGCAAATTATAAATAGTTTATTTTCATTTATTTCATTTATTTTTTAAATATTTTATCGTATAAAAAATATATTGTATCGCATTATAATTTATCACATGACTATGATCAGCAAACTCTCTATAACGGCCTTTTTTTGCCAAATCAGACAGGCCATTATAGAGAGAGTGAACTGTAATTATGTATTTATCCAGTTCAATTTTTCAAGAAAAAATATATAGAAAAAATTGGATATAAAATAACAAAATGTCAACAAATAAAACAATTTAATGATAGTTCATTTATATTAACAACAAATAATGATTTTTTGAAGTGCTATTCTATGAATACTAATAATTTGCAAGGTATTATTTAATTGAAATTATTCATTTATTATAATTTAATTTTTTTTCTCAAAAATTCAAAAAAAATATGTAGAACAAAACAAAGATCTTGAATTGTATTTACGTTTAAGATCAGACATTAAATCTGCTATGAAGAATAAAGATCAATTAAAATTAAATGTTGTCAAGGTAAATGTGAAGTGGAATTAACATATTTCATAAATTTCATCATTTTTTTTCTGACTCATTTTTCACCTTCCATTCATTTAATAAAGTCAATTCTTTCAGATCTTACTTATGTTTCAAAAAAAGTGTCACAACCTTCTTCATTAACAACATCACCACCTACAAATCAACAAATCTATAAGATTATAAACAAATCTGTTAAAACACATAATGAATCTATAGAAAAGTTTTCACAAGCACAAAGACCAGACTTAGTTTGCAAAGAACAAATTGAATTAGAAATTTTAGAATCCTATTTGCCAAAAAAGAAATTATCTGAAGAAGAAATTGAATCAAATATCATCAAATTCATCAAAGACAACAACTTAACAGGTAATTCAACAAATTCAGGCAAAATAATAAAAGAAATCAAATTTGGAGATAGTCATGATGAGATCTTGGTTGATAAAAAAATTGTGTCTACTATTGCTCTAAAAGTTTTAAAAAATATGAATCAAGAAAAAAATAAAAAACTATGCTTTTAAAAATCATGTGAATTTTATATGATTAGTGCTGTTCCTATTCCAAAATAAAAATAAATTAATCATTAATACTTTTTCTTTTGTCAATGGTCTCATGAAATGATCATCAACAAATACTTCATTTGTTAAAGACTAATGATGCCGTCTGTAAATAGTTTGGCCATTCTGTAATATGACAACTTTTCAAGTATGCAGTTGTCAGAAAATCTGTAATATGTAAA